TTTGACACAAAATGTGCAGTTGATATGTCACAAGGACTGGCTGGCTTGATGTCTTTCGGTTGCCTGGAATGCCTGGTAGTGGCGGAAAAATTTCAATCGGTCTCCGATTGTTGGTATCAAATCTTTGAGTACCTCTTCACTCAGATAATTGAAAGCTCATCTATTCCCTGCTCTGAAATTGTAAACAAACAATAAATTATCAATACAGCTCTTCTTATATTCATAATTATATATTTGGGCGCAAGGAAACCGCGGTCGAATTATTATTGTAAACCAAACTGCGTTTTCGGAAAGAATTCTGAATATGGAAAAATGTACAAAGTGCATTATTATCACTGATCGCGGTCAAACTAACTGAAAATTTTAACGGCCACTGATGAATTCAAATGCGTTGGTATGTACTTATACAGTGAGTAAATTGGTTCTTCGATACTGGTAATAACAGAGTAGGCAATCAATCAGTCAATAAAAATATTTTCATTGTGATACCTACCTAGATCATATTGTTACCTCAAGTTAAATTGTTATCCCTTTACTCACTACAAGAACCCGTGTAGGTAGGTACTTATAGCAGTATTCTATTTTTAACGATATCATATTGTCATCGGAGCATTTAGCTAGATTACCATGTAGGTTATTTCCAAATACCCAATTGATCATTGAATATCCTATTCCTATCATTTTCTACCTATTATTTCATTTGGTACACAGAGAGAGATAAGAATTAGATTAACTTACCTCCAATTATTAGCACAAGGTGATCTAATGACCATGATTTTGATAAATACTCCACAGAACTCCCCATTGCTTGAGACTAGTCAGCCACACACTGAATTGAATAACGTTTCCATGATTAGAATAAACACAAACTTCACATTAATGAAAATGAATAATCAAAACAATGAACAAGTGTATTTGTTTCGTCCAACCTGCTCAACTTCAACCGTAATCTTTCCGTAATACAATAATACTAAGGAATATGCATTATGAGGAGTGATAAGTGGGGATATGACGCGAGGATAGTCGTTTTGATTGGCTGGAAAATCTAGTAAAATAAGTGGATAACCCTATGTTCTGGTTACTAGGACAATTCATGTGACAATCACTATATCGTTAGGATAGCTCCCGGTGGTTATAGTGATGATTACCTTTTATTATGGTTATACCAACTATTTAATTGACGATATTATATAGTTTGGATGCCTATGGATATTTCTAGTGAGGTTCACAATAAATTATGGTTATACTAACTATATCAAGCTAACTATATGAATTATGTGTCCATGACAATGTCATATCTGGAGGCCACGTCATGGTAACTGAAAATCTGGTTACGTTAACCAAAATAATTTCAACATTATATTTCAGTTAGAATTCACTACACTAATTCTTTCCGTGAATGATTTTTGAAACCTCATAATATTATACTTACTTGAAGATTCAGTTGTATATAGCCTTTCTTATCCCACTGATGGCATCAAGCTGTTCAATGCAAGTGAACACTATATAGTATCGTCAAAAAGCGGAATATAAAAAAATATTTGCAAAAATTATTTTTCATTTCTATTTTTTCTATATCTTGGAGCGCACGAAAGGAAATTCCTATGATGTTCTATTCAACCGAGCTATCACTTTTGAAGAAATTGCTGATCCAAATGACGCTCGAAATGACGCATTAAGACATATTTTCGACAACGTGATGACCAGTAATAGAACCATTAATGAATTGTTGAAGATATAATCAGATGCGCATTCTAAAACTTATTCAACATCATTCACGTCACAGAGGTGGCGAAAAGACCTCTGTTTTTGAAATGCCAGCATTTCCATTCTGATGAAGAAAACGACGCGAGTGTATAAAATTATCCCGATGACGTAGTTTACTCGGAAAAAGGACGATTGTCTTGATCACGTTCAGAATTATGAAAATGGGGTTGATGTGTTTATTTTCGCGGAATGAACAAAGCAAATAAAAATAAATACGTTCTGCATTATTTTCTGAGATTTCTCAGTTTTTCAACAAATCAACGCGTGTTTGAAGTGAACAGGTATAGGTAAAAATCTTGAACTCAATATACATACATATAGGGTGCAAAAAACTTCGAATGCAAAGTTTGGTTTTTCGGAACAAATTAGTGGAATAAAAATAAATCGAAGATGTTTTGCTTATCTCTTGGGGCGCATGAAAGGGAATCTCTATATAATTTTCGGAGAACATCGTGAGTATAGGAGGATGGGAAGAGGAGGTAGGTATTGGCTTTTTTTAAACTTTTGGGGATTATAAGTTCTTGATGGAAATACCTACTTCCTTTGGGAAAGGATTCCGAAGCTTAGGCGTTCTGTGAGTGAATCACCAAAATTATTATTTATATACTGAGTTAGTTTGACCTCTGCTGCGACCACTCCACTTGGCCAAATATAAATGATTAGAAATATTGTCGCGAGAGCGCCTTCCTAGGTAGATCACCCTGTACATGCTTCCACCTTCATTCAGCAGCATTCTCAGCGTGCGGGGCATGGAGGAAGACCACGCAACTCAAGCCCACGTTGATTATTTTAATGCAATATGAATGCATTTTATATAATCATTAACAATTCAGTTGTACTTGTAACATCTATCAGTCAACTCTCCAATGCACCCCTTTTGCCGAAACTCCCTATATTCATCATACAGGACGTGGAAAGAAATTGTGAATTGAAAATATCTAATCACGAATCTGGAAAGTAGTTGTTTTCTGTTGAATATTCAGCATGATATGTGCATATTATACATTTTCTTATCTGAAGAAGAATGCAATTTCTCTACTTCAGAATATTTGGTTTTCAAATTCTTATCGTGTGTGTTCAATAGATGTAATTCAATATTCGTCGTGGCATATAGCCAGGAAAGTAGTTGTATTATGTTGAATAAACCAAGAAAGAAATAATATTTTCATCACATGGAGAATACGAATTCTCAACGTATTTCTCGGAAAATGTGGTATTGTGGTATTTTTGAGAAGAATTGATTTTACATTATTATTGAGGATCACTGAATATATCTGTACCGATTTTCATCATTCAAAAATACGATATGTGTATAAGAAAACAATTAAAAAGGAAAAGTAGGCCTGTATGATGAATATTGATTTGTCAGTCACACATCCAAAAATGCGAGCAAAAATCAAATATCATTGATCATCATTTGGATAAAATATAGAGTCCTAAAAATAACTTAAAAATCAACATTTGTCATTTTTTATCCCCAGAATTAAACAAGGATGGAATTTTATAACTGTTTCAGTAACACTTTATAGAGTTAGAGGAGACGAGGATCTGTCCGTATACCCAATACGTCAGTTTACATCAAGGGACCCTAGGTATAGGTATTCTGTTCGAATTCCATTATTTGATACAAATAAAAATTGGAATGTTCTAAACTTTATTCTACCAAGAAATATTATATGGAAATGTGTCTCATTGATTTGTTATTCTACATGGTTGACGAAAAAGTAGTGTACGCATCACGTCCAAAAACAGTTTTTTTTTTTATTGCAGACTTCTAGGACACGTGTACGACTCGGCATAGAATTTTGTAGACTCGTCCAATAAAATAGTATTTTCTGGACTCCTTATACGTAAATTACTATTTCATACAAATTATCAAAGGAAAGGTTGTTTACTAGTGTTTACTTATCGGAATTTGAGAGCTTTTTTTTTTTTCGAATTCCGGAGATTCTATTGTGAGGCTTCTTTTTGTGGAGGCCCCGACCTCTGAAAAGTTTTCACTAAATTTGTACGGCAACATGGTTGTTTGAAACACTTGCAGGTCACTGATGATGATCAAAAACATCTCAAAACGTGACGCACAGTCACAGAACATACCATGCCAAAAATTATGAAAATCGATCTCAGACTACTTTCTTTATGAGCAAAATTATTTTTTTCCAAAAAAACTTCAACGCCTTGTACCAACTCAACGAGACGATTTTGAATATAGGTAAGTTTTCCTAAATCAGCTTGTTTTTATCCCAGGAATCCCCAACCGAGCCATGTCTCTACCTTTTACAGACATCCTGTATATCGATATAGAATAGAATAGAACTTTATTATCATATATATATATATATATATACACACAATATAATGCAGTAATAATAATAATGATGAAAATAATAATAATAATAATACTTGTACAATACACTTACATTGAGCAAAAAAAAGGATGACGAGATGAGATAACAGTATTAATTATAATAATAAAGTTGAGTATAATACGATAAGTACATTTAGATATACTTGTTTCGTATAACAAGTCTCAGTATGATACTAAAACAAAAAAAAAGAAACAATATTATTTATAACGAACTAGTACATAAGAATACTACTACTGAATCAATACTAATAATAAATAATAATATATGAATTTTTTTTTGATCACAGCTATTCGAACATTTTTCAAATCGATTCTTTCACTTTGTAGTAAATATTTCCTCAGCTCTTTTTCGAAAAATGTGGTGTTTGTAATTGATTTTATCCTTTCAGGAAGAGAGTTGGGTAACCACTCTCACCATTCGAGGCAAAATATAATGATTTTTTTGACGTGTAGAATATTGATGGGCAGGAAGTGATGCACTATGTTTATTTCCATGATATTTGATACTAGAACATAGAAAATACATATTTGCCTTATATCTAAGATTTGAGTCTCTGCATAGAGATTATCTGAAGGATATCTAGTTTTTTTCGAGAAAATCAATTTAATAAATTGTCGTTGTATAACTTCAAGACTATGAATATGAGTTTTCAAGGCTCCTCCCCATACCGCTATTCCGTAACATATATGACTTTCCACAAGTGAATGATATAATGTTCTAAGGCAATGCACTGGTAAGAGTTTTTTAAGTTTCCTGAATTTGAACAATATCGTCCTATGTATCGATGTGTATCGATATATCGACTTTTTTTCATGATATCGTTATTCGATATATCGATATATCGATATTTTTGCCCAGCCCCAGTCCAGACCTCTCTGGCTACGATCCGGTATTCACCTTGCTCCGGCTCGGGGGGGTCAAAGCCACAGGTGGCCTATGTGTTTGCGCGCGCTCGAGCGCCCACGCTTGTTTCGGTGGTAACAACCCTGGCAGTGCCACCCTTGACGCGGCAGTTCGTCGCTGTTCTCCGTCAGCTTCTCTGGCTCGAATTTCCCCCCTTTTGGGAACGATTGTGGATAAAATACGGGCGGTTGCCACGTTATGTCGGTTCAAGGTTGCCTTAGTGCCACGCGCTCGAGAGTTTCCCCAGGTGAGAGGGTTTTTTAAACACGCTTATATTATTGAAAAGGAATATTCTCAGATATATTTATGTAAAGGTAAATATTTCAATGGTAGATAGGGGTCACTAAGGTGGTTCTGAAAATACCATATTTGATAGGTCTTAGAGTTTTCATATTGGAGATACAGGGCGATATATCGATTTCGAATAATTATTCATTCGTCTATAAGTATTGAACTACCCAGTATATTTTTCTAAAATTTGGTATGGAGCTTAAACTTGGGACGTTGAATGCATTCACCTATTGGGCGAAGTGAAAATCCAGGTTCAGCTCCAGGACAAATTTACATTTATTCGAAATATTAAAATAACACACTGTATGTAATAATTGACAAAGTTCATCAAAGGAATCGTGAAGAGGAGGAAAAACTAAACTGGATTTGATGCTTTTTGTTTTCCCTCCACCAATTCTCATAGTAACAATCATAAACAGGAAGCTAAAAGTATGTCAATTTCAAGAGTATTAAAATTATGAAACCACTTCCAATTATGATTATTCGATATATTCTTCTAAATGATCGTTTGAAAAAACTTACTTAGTCTCACAGTCTTTATAACAGAGATACATGGTGAATAATCACTCGTCCATAAGTATTAGACTACCCATCGCAGTAATATCTTCTCAAATTTCGTACTTGGGACAATGGATTCATTGACCTATCAGGCAGAATGGAAATACAGGTTCAGCTTCAGGAAAAGTCTCATAGTCTTTATAACAGAGATACAGGGTGAATTATCGAATTATAATTCCGCCTGATAGGTTAATGAAGCCATCGTCCCAAGTAAGCTACATACCATATTTGAGAAAATGTTATTGGGTAGTTTTATATTTATGGACGAGTGAATAATTATTCAAAACCAATAATTCACCCTGTATCTCCGTTATAAAAACTGTGAGACTAAGTGAGTTCTTTCGAGCGATTTTTTGACTAGAATATATCGAATAATCATAATTGACACTGTTTCATAATTTCAATACTCAAATTGACATACTTTCAGCTTTCTGTTTATGATTGTTACGATGAGAATTGGTGGCGGGAAAACAAAAAGCATCAAATCCAGTTCAGTTTTTCCTCCTCTTTACGATTCCTTCGATGAACTCTGTCAATTATTACATACAGTGTGTTATTTTGATATTTCGAATAAATATGAATTTTTCCTGAAGCCGAACCTGGATTTTCTCTTCGCCCGATAGGTGAATGAATTCAACGTCCTAAGTTTAAGCTCCATACCAAATTTTAGAAAAATATACTGGGTAGTTTAATACTTATAGACGAATGAATAATTATTCGAAATCGATAAATCGCCCTGTATCTCCATTATGAAAACTCTAAGACCTATCAAATATGGTATTTTCAGAACCACCTTGGTGACCCCTATCTACCATTGAAATATTTCCCTTTACCTGTGAAACACCCTGTATATAAATAAATACATTGAGAATTCGCATTCTCCATGTGATGAAAATATCAATTCTTTCTCGATCTATTCAACAGAAAACAACTACTCTCCTGGCTATATGCCACGACGAATATTGAATTACATCTATAAGAATTTGAAAACAAAATCTTCTGAAGTAGAGAATTTGCATTCTCCTTCATATGAAGATATGCACATAATATCATTCTGAATATTCAACAGAAAACAACTACTTTCCTGGCTATTTGCCACGTCGAACATTGAATTATATCTGTTGAATATCCAAAACGAGAGCATGAAAAATCAAAATCCTCTGAAATTGAGAATTGACATCATCTCTCAAATCGAATAGAATAATATGACGTATTGACGTATTATAATATAAAAATATAACTTACCGATATGTTCAGTATTGAAATGAAAATTGAAATCTATAGGAGAAGTATACTTGTATGAACTCTGATCTTGATGAGCTTGGAACTTCCAAAAAAATCGTTCGAATCAGTGGTGATATGGGAATTATATCTCTCACAGACAGGTTATCGAGTAAAACTCATTCCGGATGTCAAATCCTCATCAGTAACCTGAAGTCCAGTTATTCTTTCAGCCATTCTTCATGATATACACAGTTTTCATCTCCCTATAAAATTACTAAAACTATAACAAACTGACATCTGAGAATTATAATTTGTTGACATAACCACTGTCATCAATGTTCGTCGTGGCATATAGCCAGGAAAGTAGTTGTTTTCTGTTGAATAAACCGAGAAAAAATTAATATTTTCATCACATGGAGAATGCGAATTCTCAATGTATTTTTTTGTGTTCATAAATATATCTGAGAATATTCCTTTTCAATACTTACACCCAATCAAGGGGTTTAAACTTGAACGATGAAAACTTCTTATTTTTATAGACCTCAATCGCAGATTCGTGATTAGGTTTTCTCAATTTAGAATTTTTTTCCACGTCCTGTATAATGAATATAAATTTATTATACATCCATTAAAGCTTATATAAGCTTGGTAAATATGTTTGTATCTTCGTTTGTAACGCGGAATTCACAAATGTGGTTTTGACCCACTTCTAAACGTCGAATTGATTGAAACTTCCCACACTCATCAAGATCTGATGACAATACATGATCCAATAGTTTTTTTGTTTCAAATTACATTGTGATTGGTTTTCCGTCATCGAAATTTCAATCTGTGCCTTCACCAAAATTTAGAAATGATCCTTCACCAAATATTCAAATATTCGTTTTATGGTTTTTTCGATAATGTTCTGATAAAAATGATGTGGCCTAGGTAAACAAATAGAAGAGCTCAAAAGTTATGGTTGGACTTGATCAGTCTTGGACAGTCAATGTGGACTTTTACCACAAGATATACTAGAAAGACATAGATAATACACAGAACAGTGGTCAGTTATGATGATCATATATCAGAAGGCTGTGTCTAACTACTCTACTACAGAATGAAAATATGATTCTGGCAGTAATTGTCTCACCCATTTTTAGTTATTAGTTATTAGCCTCCATGTTGAGTTTGTAACATGAGTAGATAGATGATTGTATAGACATAGACTATAGATTCACGTTGAGCGAATTTCTTGAGAATTTGGCAATCTGTATCGGGGGGCCTAACTTGGCGTGAACCTAGTAATGGAAACGGGAATTGAGTTGTAATTTATCCTTATTGTTGTGAATTTTCAGCACTTGATGATATATGTAAAGGGCTGGTAATGACATTATACCATATTGATAGTAAAAAGGCCGACAGTGGCAAAAGATAGTTCACTTAGTGAAATCCGTTTGTCGGTACAGCCCAACATTGCATTTTTTGCTTTTCTATAAATCATTGCACCGCCAAACGGTTGCGGTCGGTTGACAGCTAATTAGATTGCGATTTCAAAGGCCCCGGCAGTCGTTAGCCGGCAGAATCCAGCGGTCGGCTAGGTTGCGGCGAGATCTCTTAGAAGTCGAAAAATGAACGAGTGAACTGTCTTATAGTTTATCTTCTGTAGTCTATGACAGTGGTCTCTATATCCAGCATTCGCGATAACTCTCACTATTCTTCTCTGTAGTTTGAAGACTTCAAATGACGGAATGAATCCATGTAGAATTTCCCCATAAGATTTTTCCATACGATTAATAAGAGTGAGATAATGAATAATACATAGTTGAAAGAACTTTTATATTGATCACTAAAATAAATAAAAAATAAATAGTTGTTTGAAAAAACTAAAGGAAAAAAACTTTTTTGGATAGCAGAACTTCAAAAATATATATAATAAGTAGTAGTTTATTGAAATGAAAACGCTTTTATATAGATAGCCAAACTAATAAAAAGTTGAGAACAAAATAAAAGTTTTTATTTGGTGTTTCGATCGAAACTGGAGATTGTGACAGAACTGTTCATTTTCATTTAACAGGTGACACGTTATAAATTATTATCACACCCCTATAACTAACTCCATTATTTTCGACAATAGAAAAAAAATTGAGCGCAGGGCGAATTGACAGATACATGTTCACTAGATGAAAAACTCTACAGGGAGCAGAAGAAGTGCATGAATATTAAATGAAACACACCCTACATATTCCTGAAAGACCTTTCGAATATCTTTCCGAAAATACTCCACTCAATATAATCATATTCCTCATTTCTCAATCATCCAAAACTATGAAAGAGTTTGATTTTCAATGATTTTCTTGATAGAAAGTTGGGTTTGTTCAGTAAAAAATTGTCGTGACGGCATCCGTATTCAAGATGCAAGGTGTTGAAAAAAAAATCGGAAGTTATAACTTCATAATTTTCAAATCAAATTATAGGTATTTATTTCGAAAATGGTACACGTAGTATCGTGTTTCAACAATAGTTATTGGTGTTCGAGTTTTGGAAAGAAACAACATTAAAATATATAAATAATATATATCTACTATAATTTTTGAGGTTTATAAGAGTAGTAGAAAATATAATTATTAAACACTTACCTTAACGTGTAAATTTTCATCAAAAGCGTGACTGTGATTCCTTTTTTGCTATAACAACACCTCTTCTGATTTATCCACAGAAATTGAAGCTGGACATCTCGCTTTGTATATACAGCGATATGAAACACCTAATATAGTTTCTCTATCATTGCGAAAAGTATAACTTTTAACTATTAATAATTTTTTTCCGCGCTCACTTAACATGGTCTCCATTTCGGTATACTTTACACGTAAACTTCTTCTGAATAATGTAAGTGAGTGAATGTAATTTAATGTGTACTGAACGACCTGCCCACCCCCTGCTTTTAGGGACAGGTACTCTAGGACAACAAAATCTTATCACAAATAAAGTTATTTTTTGTATTTACAGAAAAAAAATCACATCAACCGAAAATTGCAGATGCCGTTACAAAATTTTTGTACTTAGCATACCCA